GAAAAACTACTAAAAGAAAAGCAAAAACAAACAAAAGAAAAGAAGAGAAAAACGATATTATGGAAAGATAGAACCTGATTATGTATCATAGATTGGAGCCACAAGAGTGATCTCCTCAGGTTGGTTGACTCGCTCCACATATTGCTTCAACTGTTGTCCATTAACTCAAAAAATTCTCCCATCAATTGGATCCTCAATCTCTGTTGTACCTATGATTTTGATGATTACAAAACACATTTGAGTGACTAATTGGTTTATTTAAGTGTGTAGTTAAGTTGCTAAAAGATTGCAAGTAAACTTGGATGGCACTAAAAATAGACGAAAAGGATTCAATGTGCAGAGAGCCGGCTCTTGTAAAGTGTAGCCGGCTGTGGTGAAATGGAAGTGCAGAGAGCCGGCTCTAGAAGCTAGAGCCGGCTCTAGAAGCTGCAGCCGGCTCTACAGGCAAAAATTTGAAGACCGTTGTTTGGCGCGCGCGGAGAAAAGACGCAAAGCCGACTCTGGCTTTGCAGCCGGCTGTGAGGGTGCATTTAATGCACAACGGTCGACTCTTTTGAAGAATATTTAATGTATTTAAAGTCGGAGTTGCAAAGCCGGCTCAAAGTCTTGCAGCCGGCTCTCGAGGAAAACAGAATGTGCAGGAAACCCGCAGAGCCGGCTTCAGAAATGGTGAGCCGGCTGAGCAGAGCCGGCTCTAGGAAGTTAAGCCGGCTCTCCTGACAGTTTTGCAACTCGAGCCATGCGTCCTGCAAGAGCATTTAATGACCCCCAATGGCTAGTAACGGCTATTTTTGAGCAAGGGGCTATAAATATGGTTGGTAACAGATGTGAAGGGGTTTAGAGAGTATTGTATTGAATATCTTTACCTACCTACATGATCTTTAACTTGAGTTTTTGATCTTTGAGAGATCTTTACTTGTAATCCTCTTCTTGTGCTATTAGTGAGTGATCTTGGGGATGTGTTGATTCCTTCAAGAGTGATCTGAAGAGAGGATCTTTGGGGTTAAAGTATAAAGGGGTGAGATTTGAGAGAAACCCTTCTTCTTGTAAAGGATTGAGTGGCTCCTTTAAGCCACCATTGTTTTTGCTAGTGGAGAGTGTGGAGGAAATCCTTGGTGAGTGAAGCCAAGGTAGAGGACTAGGTTCAAAGTGGTTGGACCGAACCTCTATAAAATCATTGTGCAATCTCTTCTTCTTAACTCTCTCTTTAATTTTTGTTTGGTGGTTGCAAAGAGGCGAAAATTCTCCAACTCCAATTCACCCCCCCTCTTGGAGTGCATTGAGTCAACAATCTCAACTGCACCATTAGGGAAAACTTGTTTCACCACAAATTGACGTGGACAAGGGGCCAAGCCCAACAGGAGCAGCTTACCTTTTATATTTAGACTATTTAATAGTTTAGAATTCCTTTCTAGTTTAGAAGTTCTTTCTTTATTTGGAGTTACAGTTTAGATTTTCCTTTTAATTTGGGAATTGCCCTAAACTATTTAAGACCTTTGTAAGGCTATAGTCGGAGGGCATTATTTTTGAAATTTATTGGATTTCTCTTTCTTAAGAGTTTGTCTCTTGTTGAACTTTCTTTGAGCCTAACGTGTTTAGGTTTGTTGAGTTTGCTTCATGTTGCGTCAAGTGGTATCAGAGTGGGAATGCATAATCCTGGTATCATAGTCGACAGGTCTGGAGGAAATCATCCCGATGTCGCTGGAGAAAGGATGAAGACGACTGCAGATTTGGAGCGTAGATTTGAAGGGCGACTCATAGAGATAGAAAGAAGTCTTGACAAGGTCCGCGCAAGTTTGTGCACTCTTGCAGTGAATCTCAATAGGAGGCTGGAGGTAGCAAGGGATGCTGACCGAGATGTTGCTCGAGAGTGCCTTGTTGATCAGCACCATCCTATTAATTGGAGGTTACATGCTTATGACGATTTGAGTGATGATGATGTTGATGTAGCCCAACTGGTGGTGAACCGTGGGAACCTAAGGAACATCAGGGGACGTGGACAAGGTTATGTCGGAGGGTTCAAAGGTGGCTACGGAGGAGGATATCGAGAGAATTACTATGAACCAAAAGACTTTCATCTGAAAGTCAACCTTCCTACTTTCGATGGTTTTCTTGATATTGAGGAATTTTTAGACTGGTTGTCAGAAGTAGATCGGTTTTTTGATTACATGGACACTCTAGAAGAGAAGAAAGTGGAGTTTGTAGCCCATCGGTTAAAGGGAGGTGTTGCCCTATGTTGGGATAAGGTACAAGAGAACTGAAGAAGAGAAGGCAAAACTCCCATTCGTCTTTGGCCGCGTATGAGGCAAAATCTTCGAGCCAGGTTCTTGCCTCCTAATTATGAACAATATTTATTCTCTCAATATCAAAAGTGTGTACAGGGACAGCGAACAGTACATGAATATACAGCCGAGTTCTACGTTTGGCCGCTTGAAATGATCTACATGAATATGAAGGACAGCAAGTCTCTAGATACCTTGAAGGGTTGCAACCAACATTAAAAGAGAAAATTAGTGTCCAGGTTATACGAAGTGTGTCTAAAGCTCAAAACTTAGCTCACAAAGCTGAGGTAACGACAAAGGAGCATCGGGGAAAAGGGGTTGAATTTTATCGAAAAGGTTATAGCACTTCTAGCTTAAAGTTCGAAGATGACCTCACCCACCCTACACAAAGTAAGCCGACAATAGACAAGCCAGCAGTGAGGAACCAAGCAAGAAAGCAACGAAAGAGGCTGAAGCTTATAAGGTATCAAATTCCAACCCGTATGCACGGCCAATCAATGGAAAGTGTTACAAGTGTAATCAATCGGGACATAGATTGAGTGATTGTCCTCTTTGTAAAAAGGTGGCTTTGATTGAGCAAGGAGAGGATTTTAATGAAGTTCTCTATGACCCAAATGATGATGGAAACTATGAGGAAGATGAACACGGGCAAACTTATGTGGTGAGAAGGACCATGTTGTCACCAAAGGTAGAGTAGAACACCCAGTGGTGTCAGCTATTTCGAACAAGATGTGAGGTCCAAGCCAAAACATTTGATTTAATTATAGATAGCAGGAGTCTAGAGAATATAATTGAAAGGGAAGCCATTGAAAAGTTGCAGCTAGAAGTCGAGAAACACCCAAGTCTCTACACAATTAGATAGATCAAGTTTGGAGATGAAATAAAGGTGACAGAGCGGTGCAAAGTTCCATTTTCCATTGGCAAGTATCGAGATGAGGTTTACTACAATGTGGTTGATATGGATGCATGCTAGATTTTGTTTGGAAGACCCTGGCAATTTGACACGGATGCTCAGTAGTTTGGAAGGGAGAACGTTTATCATTTAATCAAGGAAGCGGTATGCTACACTTTGCTGCCTTTGTCAAGGAAACCAAAAGCAAAATCTACACCACCAAACGCAGACAAAACATTCTTGACAGTGGTTAATCCAGGGAAAGAATTTCTGGAGGAGTGCAAAGAGGCCAAGGAGGTTCACGTTTTGCTGGTGAAAGAGTTACTAAACCAAGCTGGGAAAGGAGAGCTTCCTAAGGAGGTAAAAGCCATCCTAAGTCGAGTTTCCATATTTAATTTCAGATGAATTACTTGCTGGGTTGCCACCAATGAGGGATATACAACATCATATAAACCTCATGTTGAGAGCTAGTTTGCCAAATTTACCCCCATTATCGAATGAGTCCAAAAGAGAATGATATTTTGCGAGAGAAGTTTGAAAAGCTACTAGAGAAAGGTATGATCAGAGAGAGTATAAGCCCTTGTGTTGTACCTGCATTGCTCACACCAAAGAAAGATGGAAGTTGGCGAATGTGTGTTGATAGTAGGGCTATTAATAAAATTAAAATCAGGTACAAGTTTCCCATACCACGGCTTTACAATATGTTGGACTAGCTGCATGAGGCTAAGGTGTTCACCAAGCTTGACCTTCGAAGTGGCTACCACCAAATTTGTATTAGACCAGGAAATGAGTGGAAGACAACTTTTAAGACTCGAGATGGGTTGTACGAGTGGCTAGTGATGCCATTTGGCTTAAGCAATGCTCTAAGTACCTTCATGAGGCTTATGAACTAAGTACTTAAGGCTTTTATTGGCCATTTTGTTGTGGTTTATTTTGATGATATTTTAATTTATAGTAAGACAAGAGAAGAACACATGGGTCATTTATTTGAGGTTCTAAGAGTACTGCAAGACAATAAACTATTTTTGAATTTTAAAAAGTGCAATTTTATGGCGGAGAAGTTGTTTTTTTTGGGATATGTCATTAGTGCCCAAGGAATTCAAGTTGATGAAGAAAAAATTCGAGCAATCGAAGATTGGCCCACACCAACATCAATAAGTGAACTATGGAGCTTTCAAGGACTTGCTACTTTTTATCGTCGATTCTCAGAAATTTTAGTGCCATTACAGCTCTTATTACTGAGTGTATGAAGAAAGGGAAGTTTAGGTGGGGAATTGAAGAAGAAAGAAGCTTTGTGTTGCTTAAAGAAAAGCTTTACACAGCACCAATCTTGGCTTTACCGGACTTTGGAAAGCTATTTGAAGTGGAGTGTGATGCTTTTGAAGTGGGCATTGGGGTAGTACTTTTCCAAGAGAAGAGGCCTGCAGCTTATTTTAGTGAGAAACTCAATGACTCTAGGCGGCAATGGACAACATATGATAAGGAGTTTTATGTTATTGTGAGAGCCTTAAAGATTTGGGAACATTATCTAATTGGCAAAGAGTTTGTTCTATACTCCGACCACCAAGCATTGAGATACTTGAATAGCCAGAAGAGACTTAGCAGTGACTTACATGCCCACTGGTCCTCTTTCTTGCAAAAATTCCCTTTCAAGCTTATTCATAAATTCGGTTCTCAAAATCGAGTGGCGAATGCTTTGAGTCGAAGGTCGATGGTACTTGCAATCTTGCAAAGTGAGCTGGTGAGATTTGAACAATTAAAAGAATTATACAAAGATGACCTAGATTTTCAAGAAGTTTAGTTTAGTTTACAAAACCAAACCCCTGTAGATGATTATTATCTGTATGAAGGCTTCCTCATGAAAGACAACCAACTTTGTATTCCTCGGTCTTCATTAAGAGAGAAGTTGATTAGAGACTTGCATGGGGTAGGTTTAACAGCTCACTTGGGAAAAGATAAGACTCTAGATGCTGTTAAAGATTGTTATTTTTGGCCAAAATTGCAAAGGGATGTAGAACATTTTGTCGAAAAGTGTTATGTGTGTCAAACATCCAAGGGTCAATCTCAAAATGTGGGACTTTACATGCCACTACCAGTTCCGAAAAATTCATGAGAGGACTTATCAATGGACTTTATCCTTGGTTTTCCTAGGACTAAAAGGGGCATGGATTCTTGTTTTCTTGTGGCTGATAGGTTTTCCAAAGTGGTGCATTTTATTCCTTGTAAGAAGACAGCGGATGCCACAAATGTTGCTAGACTCTTTTTCCGAGAGGTAATGCGTCTGCATGGGGTGCCAAATCAATAGTATTTGACCGTGATACTTGTTTTCTTAGCCACTTTTGGATGACTTTATGGAAGATGTTTGATGCCTCTTTAAATTTTAGTAGCACAGCACACCCTCAAACTGATAGACAGACAGAATCAATGAACTGTACACTTGGGAACATGATCCATGGCATCTGTGGGGATCGACCAAGACAGTGAGATTTTGCTCTAACTCAAGCAGAATTTGCTTATAACAGTGTAATGCATAGTGCTACAAGGAGATCTCCATTTTCCATAGTATACCAAAAAGTGCCTAATCATGCTATAGACTTAGTGAAGTTGCTAGAAGTGAGGGGCATTAGCACTGCAACAGCAAACTTGGCTAAGCAAAGCCAAGAAGTTCAAGCTGAGGTCAAAGCCAAGCTTGAGGTGACAAATAGCAAGTATAAGCAGGCAGCTAATGTGCATCAAAAGGACAAGGCATTTGCAGTAGGGGATATGCTAATGGTCTTTTTGAGGAAGGAATGCTATCCAGTAGTTACCTATAATACGCTGCTGCCACGCAAGTATGGTCCTTATAAGATCCTCAAGAAAATTAACAACAATGCTTATGTGGTAGACTTACTAGCATCAATGGATATTTCTTGAACTTTTAATGTTGCTGATATGTTCCCCTACTTTGATTCAAGTGAATCACTTTATCCTATGGATGTTGATGGCAACTCAAGGTCAAGTTTTGTTCCAAGAAGGGGAGACTGACGTGGACAAGAGGCCAAGCCCAGTAGGAGCAGCTTGACTTTTATATTTAGACTATTTAATAGTTTAAAATTCCTTTCTAGTTTAGAAGTTCTTTCTTTATTTGGAGTTATAGTTTAGATTTTCCTTTTTAATTTGGGAATTGCCTTAAACTATTTAAGACCTTTGTAAGGCTATAGCCGGAGGACATTATTTTTTAGATTTATTGGATTTCTCTTTCCTAAGAGTTTGTCTCTTGTTGAACTTTCTTTGAGCCTAACATGTTTAGGTTTATTGAGTTTGCTTCACGTTGCGTTGCAAATGGACCTGTCCATCAAGATCTTAGCTTTCTTAGATGAAGATGCAAACGAGAATCATAAAGATGCACTTTTTGATTTGGCTCAAAATTCTTCCTTAGGATTTGCTTGTCATGAGCTGCTTTTGGTTTAGCCTTGTAGATCCTAGCGTTATCATTTGCATCGTTCCTCAATTCTTCTATCTTTGAGATTTGTAATTTTCTTTAGGTACCGGTATTCAAATCAAAATTAAGTGCTTTAGTAGCCCAATAAGCTTTATGTTCAAGCTCCACAGGTAAGTGACATGCTTTCCCATATACAAGCTGATATGGAGACATCCCAAGAATAGTCTTACAAGCAATGCGATATGCCCAAAGTGCATTTAAAAGGCATAAAGACTAGTCTTTGCAATTTGGGTTTACCGTTTTGTCCAAAATTTGTTTTACCTCCTTATTGGCTAATTAAGCTTGTCCATTACCATTTTTTTTCTTGAAGAGAATGTATATAAAAAGTGTGCCTAAAATGTGCATGCAATGCAACCACCCCCAACCTATATATGACAGGTTTCTCACTAGCATAAAATAAAGGCAAACCTAAAAATGTAATAGC